AGGGCATGTACATTGGTTGCGGGCACATCCCCGGTAGGGGGGGTGTGCAAGAGGCAGCTGGTCAATGTTTCTCTCTCATCGACGTTTCTGGCTCTCTATCCCTCTCCCTTCCTCTCTGTAAAAAATCAATAAAATATATATATTTTTTAAAAAGTTGATGGAAAAACACCACATGACCTCACTCATTTGTGGATAATAAAGAACATTATAAACTGATGAACCAAAAGATAGATATAGAGACAGTATATCAACAAGCACACTGTCAAATTACAGCGGGGAGGGGAGGAAGATCTGGGGGAGATAATAGATCAACCGAAGGACTTTTATACATGCACATAAGTACAACCAATGGACATAAAACTCTGGGGAGGGAGGGGATATGAGGGAGGGAGGGAGGGGGGGGCAAAAAAAAATCAAAATATATATATATATATTTAAAAAAAAAAAAAAAAGACTGAAGAAAGGACCTCTTTTCCACTATTTCGAATGCTTAATAGCTAATTTCATAACATCACATGTACCATTTTAAGAAAGTGATGATTTAGTGGGAAATTAAAGCTTTGCATCTGTATACTGTAAATATAAATGACGATTTGTTTGAAATGTGTAACTTGGATATGCAAAAGATAATAACTCACAATGTTAATATTAAATATTCCTTCAAAAAAAATTTTTAAAAAAGTATAAAAAAAATAAAAAAATAAAAAGTTGATGGGTTGAGATGGGAGGAAGAGAAACCAGGTAAGGAGGATGCAAGGCTGGAGGGCAGCCCTCTCTGCCCTGTTGTGCTCAGGACAGCTTGCTCTGTGTGTCCTAAAGTAGATGGAGCACCATGGGATTCCAGAATGGTGATCTGGACTTAGTAAAGTTTTATGTTTTGTATATTCTGCTTTGGAAGGCAGGGAGATAACTGGTGTTGCTGCCCCAGGTTCGGATGCCTTTGCTTTCCGGGAAGGACTTAGTTGGTGAGGACTTCCTGTAGCTACTCCCTTCCAGACTTTGTGGCCTCAGGGTATGCTAACACCTAGAATAATGGCTGGCATTTGATGAGCAATTGGCAAATACTTGTTGAATGAATGGATTCATCACAGAGGGGGAGACCTAGTTGACGATGAGCTGAGCTGACACGGAGTGGCTTCTAGTCTTGTCACGGTAATGGATCACCTATTGTAACCACTGGACAGCACTTCACACAACAGCCACACAACTGTATTTAGGGAAAGAGCCTTGGAAGTAGAGCACCGTTCCTAGGTGCTTGTTCCTGGGATATTTCATTTGAGAAGATTTTAATGAGGGTATTCTCATTTTAGGCCTGCTGCTTATGAAATATCAGTCTATTGTTGGTGCACAGCCCATCTGGAAGGCCTGTTTCTTGGCCCCAGACCCCATACACACCTCTTATTCATCTACCTATCCATCCATCCATCTATCCATCTTCCTTCCTTCCTTCCTTCCTTCCATCCATCCATCCATCCATCCATCCATCATCCTTCTGTCTTTCCTTCCATCCTTCCATCCTTCCATCCATCCATCCTTCCATCCATCCATCTGATCATCCATCCATCCATCCATCCATCCATCCATCCATCCATCCTCCCATCCTTCCATCTGTTTAGCAAACAGACATTTATGGAGCACTGCTGTGTGCCAATCAGACACTGCTTTGGGATGGTGGAGAGGTGATGCTCAGATGAACACGGCTGGTCCTGCCCTCAGGAAGTGTTCAGTCTGAGGTCAGTAACAGGAGCACAGGCAACTGCAGTGCCGTGTGATAAGTGTGCTTGTGATAAGGGGGGTGGAGTGGGCACCTATTGCCCTGGTGTGGGGGGCAGCAAGCTATTGAGGAGGGGATGTGTGGGCTAAGCCTGAGATGACATTTTGTGGGCTTCTCAGGGCTGCCCCCGGTGGGAGTCCTGGCTGGCAGTGCAGTGAGTTCATTATCTGGAGCCTTCTCAGTGTTGAGAATGGCCACCCTGCAGACTGGGAGGAATGAGAAGTGGTGGGTTCAAGTTCTGTGGCCTTGGCCCTGCTGTCTTCGTCCCACCCCTAACCCACTGGGACTCTATTCTGAAGACCCCTCGATTTCAGCCCTCATCATTTTTACCAGCTTCTTTTGAGAGCTGGAAAGGGCCATTGGGAATTCTATTTTCCAGCAGAAGAAACTAAAGAACATCCTTGGTGAAGGGAGCTGGTGGGGGGAAGTGTTTCTAAGTGAGTAAAAATGGATTTCCTACCCACTGCCCTCTGTCTGCCACCTCTAAGTCCAGCTGAGGGTCTCTCAGGAGAGGAGCCCATCTGGCTTGGCAGAGGCACTCACCGCCCTGAGACAGGTTCTTTTCCCAGCCTCTACCATGAGCTCCTGCTAAAGTAAGAGCCATTTTAGAAACACATCAGAAAAGCAAGACTTGGAATGACCTTGAGGGAAACCTGGGCTGACCTCCCTCATTTGTCCATGTGCAGAACTGTGTTTTCTCAGTTCATACTCTGAGTGTGTTAAAATTACATCCTGGGATGGTGAGCGGAGGTTGGCTACGGGGCCAGTTGCATTTGGCCCTGTGTATTCAGGGCATCACTGCCAGTTTGCAGCTACAAGAGAAGCCCAGGTTGGCCACAAGGATTTGGGGGAATTATGAATGGTTTCAGGTCACATTTAGTGGTGCATCTGGGACTAGAGCATAGGACTCTTGCCCCATCCCAGCCCAATTCATTCATTCATATATATATAATTTCAGAAAAAAGGGAGAGGGAGAGAGAGAGAGAAGCATCAATGATGCTAGCGAAAACCATTCATCGGCTGCATCTTCCATTCCCCGCATTGGGGATCGAGCCTGCAACCTGAGCATGTGCCCTGACTGGGAATCAAACTGTGACCTCCTGGTTCATAAGCTGATGCTCAACCATTAAGCCACACCAGCTGGGCCCGGTCCAATTCTATTTGCTATGTTCCGCTGCTCAAGCTGCATTCTAACTAGTTTTATCCCAAGGAAACCTGCTAATGAATCATTGGCACGGTGGAACACAGCTATTCTAGTTTTTGCAGATTTCCTGTTTATATCAAGCGATCCACGAACAACGTGTACATAATTTTTAATGTAATTGGAATCACAGCTTCTTCTTCCCTTCTAGTCTGCTTATCAAATGTCGGTAGTTTAGAATATTGCTTTGTATTTCCTGACATTGGCAGTTGGATCTAGGGCTGTGGAGAGAGAAGACAGGGGAGGGAGATTCTGTGTCTGGCGGTGGGGTGTTCTTCACCAGGAAGGAGGTAACGGGAGGTATGTCTCCTGTTGGGATGCTGGTATCCGCTGGTACCCAATGCTTAGCGCCTACCATTTGGTAGAAGTTGCCAATGTGAGATATTGCAGTTCTTTTTATTCTTCTTCCTTTATTTGTTGGAAATAAATGAAAAACTCTGTCCATCTACTATTTACAAAAGCTTTATTGAGATTCACACACAATACAATTCACCTGTCTGGAGTGTACAGTCCAAGTGGCTTTTAGTATATTCTTGGAGTTGTGCATCTGTTAACACAATCAATCTTAGTACATTTCATTAACCTCTGGCCTTTTCACCTCCCCCCCCCCCCCAAAAAAAAAAAAAAAAAAAAACCAAAAAACCAACAACTGTAATCACCTGAATGGCCACCCCACAAACGCTGCAGCCCTAAGCAAACCCTACTCTAATTTCTGTCTCTAAATTGACCTGTTCTAGATATTTCATGTACTATGTGGTCCTTCATAACTCGCTTCTTCTACTCAGTTTTCAATTTCCAGGGTCCATCCATGTTGTAGCATGTATCAGAACTTCATTCCTTGTTTTGGTGAAACACTGTTTCTGTTTTATGCATAAGGCCACAGTTTATTTATCCATTCGTCAGTCAATAGACATTTGGGTTGCTTCCACTTTGGGGCCATTAGGAATAACTCTGCTCTGAAGATTTTTATACACGTTTCAGTGTGAAGATCATGTTGTCATGCTTTTTGAGTATACTAAGATGCCTAGGAGTGGAATTGCTGAGTGAAGTGGACACCGTGTTTTATCGTCTGAGGACCTTTCAGGCTGTTTCCCAAAGTGGCTGCACAATTTTTCATTCCTACTAGCAGTATTGGAGGGTTCCAGGTTCTCCAAGATTTGTTCTCTTTCTGATGATAGCCATCCAAGGGAGGGGTCTCGTTAAGGCTTTGATTTGCATTTCCCTAATCACACTGAGCACTGTGTCATGGGCTTATGAAGAACTCTCCTTCTCCATCCTTGGTTCATTCTGTAATGGGGGGGTTTGCCTTTTTATTATTGAATTGCAGTAGTCGTGTCATCCAGATAGAAAGCCCTTATCAGACATGTGATTTGCAAACTCTCCCATTCTGGGTTGTGTTTTGACTTTCTTGACGTCTGCGTCCTTTGAGGCACCCAAGGTTTACATTTTGATGATGTCCAGTTTATTTTTTTATTTTCCTGCTTATGTTTTTGGTGTCACATCTAAGAAACCCTTGTCTAGCCCAAGGTCATGAAAATTCATGCCTATGTTTTAATTATGTTTTATCCTGAGAGTTTCATACTTTCAGCTCTTGCATTTAGGTCTTTGATCCATTTTGAGTTAATTCTTGTATATGCGTCATCTACTCCTTGATTACCTAGGGGCTCTAATAAAGACAGGATCAATGTTTGCCCCCCCCTCCCCTTTATTTACCAGGTTTTCAAGGCGTTGGTTTCCCAACAACCTTGTTTGGTGGGTTTTGGGGATGTTGTTGTTTTTTTATTGTGGGTTTTTTTTGTGTGATTGTGTGTGTGCGTGTGTGTGCGTGTGTGTCTGTGTGTGTGTGTGTTTTAGATTTAATCATGAGTTTGTATCATACTACAGCCAATTAAAAATGTTTAAATTTTGCATCCTGTGTTATATACATATATGCAAAATACAGAGAAAAGTGTTTTTGTTTTTAATCTTTTTGTTTGTTCCCTGGCTGACATGTCCTAAATCTCCATCTCCCCATTTGCCTTCCAGAAACACGCCAAAGGCCAGGACCTGTTCGATCAGATCGTGTACCACCTGGACCTCGTGGAGACAGACTACTTCGGCCTCCAGTTCCTCGACTCCGCCCAGGTCGCGGTACGTGCTCCTTCGATTCCTTTCAGATCCACGGTGGCTAGGACTCGGTAGGGGAAACATAGGAGCGAAACTGTGATGTTGTTGCCATGACTAGCATTGGGATGGTGGTGATGGTGCTCCAGTAAGATGCATCCACGATGCCCCACCCTTGAGATGACCAACAACTGTAACTAGGATAAGGAGAGGAAGCGGGAAGGAACATTAATCTCACGCACGGGGATGCATTGGGGAAGCATTTCCACGCGTAGGGATGCAGTACGGGCACAGTAAGGCAGACACATGGGAATTCTTCCGGTGGAGCTGCTTTTATTTTTAACCAGCAGAAGGGGCTGCACCACCATCTTCTGGTGAAGACTTGCTGGGCGTGGAGAGCAGGTGCTGCGCACAGGGCTGAGCCCCAGCCCGCTCGGAGCAGGTCTTGGCATTGCTCAAGAACCATCTTGCGGGCTCCAGGAGGTTGTGTTAGGTCAGCAAAGACTTCCCTTGCTTTGCCCGGGACAGAAATGTTCACAGTGGAGAGGCTGGCATGAGCAAACTGACACCTCTCAGAATCCCTCATTTAGAAAGCAGGAATGACTTGCGGTCTCCCTCCCAACAAAATCTAGCTTTGGGTTTTGGAGGTAATTTATTCAACAATCTAAAAATATTTAGTGAGTGCCTCTCATTCTGAGCACTGTGGATAAATAAAGCAGTGAACACAAATACTATAAGATGACAGAGAGTAATGAGTGCGAAGAAACATAAAGCAGAATAAGGGATAGACAGGATGAGGGGTGGTGCCATTGCAGTGTGTGAAAGGTGGGTCCCTGCTCAGGCAGCAGTCACGGTGCGATTCCCTGTGAGAGCACATACCGAGGCTGTGGACTCGATCCCCAGTAGGGGGCGTGCAGGAGGCAGGGGGGTCAATGATTCTCCCTGATGTCTTTATCTCTTCCTCCCTCTCCTTTCCTGTCTGAAATAAATGAAAGTATATATATATATATTTAAAAAGAAACAAAGGTGGGTTCCTTGATAGGAGATGTTTAAGCTAAAAACCAGGAGCTCCTCATATGTGGTGAGACCTCTCTACCTGAAAGACAATTTTTGTTATATCTTGGGAGCCCCCTGTGACAGTTGTAAAGTGAAGAAGCTCAAAGTCGATGCCTGGGCGTTGGGTCTGCCTAAGACTGTTAGTGGGATGCTGAGTGTGCAGATGACACAGGGAATCAGGACTTCAGCCTATCCTAGTTACAGTATCCTGAGCTAACGGTTTCGATTCTTCTCCATTTCCCATCTGCAGACTCTCCCTCCAGCCCACTAGGGCCCGACCAGCCCTTCTCGTCCCACCTTCCTGCCCAGTTCCCTGCCCTCTGACCTCAGCAATGTTCTCCTCATCCCTCAAGGCCTCTGGCCACCTCAGAATTCAGGTGGTTGATCCTTCCAGATATTGTGGACACTGTTTCCCCTCATTGAAGCTTCATCTGACCAGACCTCACCCAGAGACTCTCTGGGTCTTGTCACCATTCTAAGACCCCGAATTCTGTTGTCCCCCATTCCAGGGCCACTTCCCTTGATTCTGTCTCTCCAGGCCCTCTACATCTAGCCTTGGCCTTGACAATCCCCTCCTGCCTCATCTCCCCTCTCCCAGCCGCCCACTGCCCTTGCCTTCTTTCAGGCTTGGCAAAGCCTCCGCCCTCTCACCTGTGTCCTCCTGTGCCCTTTGAGTCTCCTGTCCCCATGACTGTCCCTGGAACCCCCCTTGACATTCAGACCCATCTGTTTGCTCTGCTGCTTCTCCCGGTTGCCAGGCATTGCTGGAGAGTCACGGCTGTGCCTGTCGGCACCTGTTGGCACCAGCACAAATCACAGTTTCAGAGCAGTCCAAACTCCAGAGCACCTTCTGCAGCCTCGTTAGCCCCTCATGGACTCTTTTCCAAATATGGTTTTCGATTTTTGTCTTTTTTTTTGAGAGAGAGAGAGAGAGAGAGAGAGAGAGAGAGAGAGAGAGGAGAGAAACATTAATTGGTTGCCTCTTGCACACCTCCCAACTAGGATTTGAACTCACAACCAGGGCATGTACCCTGACGCAGGAATTGAACTAATGACCTTTCAGTGCACAGGCTAACACTCTAACCAACTGAGCCACACCTGTCAGGACCCCAATGGTCCTATGTGCCCCACAGTTCCCCTTCTAAATCTTAATCACAGACATGTAATCCAGCCCCCACAAAACCTCAAAGTTGGCCTTCCCTCCTCCTGAGAAGACTGGGCTCATGTAGCTCAAATTCCTGGCTTTCCTTCCCTGAAGACAAACCAGCCCTCCCTGCCGTCTTGTCTTAAGGGAGGAGCCTGTTTCTCCAGCATTTCCCCCCCAAACCTACAAGGACAGTTCCATTGCCAGCTGCTTCTTCCTGAGTTCCGTCCCCAGCTCTCCTCTTCTCTGAAACTCTCCTCAGCTCTCCTCTTTCCTAAAACTCTCTCCATCCTGCCTTCTCCTGTGTCTTTAACCCGTGGGATACCGTGTGGTGGTTTTGACGTCATCGTATCTGTGGTCCCAGGCTAGCAGTCACACCTGGGCCTTGTGTCTGGCTCTGCCCCCGACTCATTTGGCGGGTTTTAGGCAAGTGTCCTTTGTTCTGTAAAATGGGTTTCTTGGACCTATTCTCCCCTAAGCTCTTCCAGTTCTAATATTCAGTGATTCCGAGTCTGAAGAGGAGGCAGGCACGTCTGCCCCACACATCTTGTCTTAATTAGGAGGGAGGAGATCTCTCTCATTTCTGCCATTAAAGCCTAGTGCCCGTTGCCCTGGTGGCACGACCTCCTCCCCAGATGACCCCTCTCCAGCCACTGGGATTCCCAGAAAGTCAAAAACGTCTGCTCGCTTGGCTGCCAGCTGCTCCATCCTCCGGTGCCCTGTCACCGCGTGGCAGGAGGTGTGTTCACAGCGGGATCCAGGCTTCCTTCCCAGGTCAGACACCTGCAGATGCTAGATCTCTGCAGGCCCTAGAGCCTTTCCAGGATCCCGCTCTGTGAACGGATGTGATTTTCTTTCCCACAAAAGCAGGGACAAGATCCTCATCTGCCCGACTCCAGGTCCCAGGAGCAAGTGGCCCCAGCGGCCCCAGGCCCCCTCTGCTAACCGGTGTGATTTCTCTCTCACCTGGGCTCCTTACAGGCCGGCGCAGGTCATGCCTGCACTCACTGCTGGGCCTTTGCTGGTGCTGGTTCCCCTCCTGGGATGCCCTTTCTCACCCCATTTCACCGTCTGGCCATCCCTCAAGACCGTCTCAGGCGACACTCCGACTCCGTCACGGAGCACGCCCTGAGCTCTCAGAGGGTTTTCCTCCACCGTGTGAACCGCCGAGCTTATGTAGCCTTCTGTGGCAGCTTGCTCCTTTTGCCTAGGGTTCTTGTTTGTGTATATAAATACACAAAGCCTTTCTGATTAGACGTGAAGACTTAGGACTTGTTCTTCTTAACTGGGTGGATCTTGGTGACTTAGCTGTGCCAAGACAACCTGAGAGCCCTAGTCGTTAGACCCAGGAGAGATGCTAGGAGCTACGTATTTCCATCTTCTAGATCTGAGGTGGGGAACAGCCGGCCCGGGAGCCGTATTAGGCCCGAGAAATCATCTGGTGTGGCCTTGCCAAGGCATTAGGTGCGAGTGCATGAAATGTTTGACCAAATAGAGCAGGCTACTTTTTAAGTTGATAATTTTGTATGGCCGGCGAATGATGTTATAAATACCCAAATGGCCCTTGGCAGAAAAAAAACGTTCCCACCCCGTTCACAATGGTGAACCCGAAGCCTTAGACCTTAGTGAGAAGCACAGCCTGACGCAAGCCCGGTTTTTGTGATTTCAGGCTCAAGTGCTCTCGAGGCTCGGTCTTCGTCACGGTGGTGACGTCTGTGTCACAGGGAAGTTGAGGGGCTTCGTGAACTAAGGGAACAGATGACGCGGTTTTGTCATCGGACATGGGTGTGGGTTTCCTCTCCCTAGCCGGACAGTCTGAAGGGGTCCAGAAGTTGTCCCAGCCCAGAGGTGGCAGGCTGAGATTAGCTGGAACCTGCAGGCTGTCTCACCTGGGGGCGAACCCTTAGCCATCCAGACAAGAGCCCTTGGACATCTGGGCTATCGTTGCTTTTTCTGGGAACCTGGGACAGTGCAGTTGGTGGCAGGTGACCTGATGTGAGGATGGATGTGTGTCTGGGGACAGTGGGATACTAGATGGGCACCTGGCTTATAGCTCCATAATTGAAGCTTCTGCAAGGATCGACACCCCCTCCCAGCCCCTGACATGCAAACCAAAGGGCTGGCCCAGGCCGAGCTCTTGGCACAGCCCTCTGAGTAAGTCACCAGCTCCCAGCCCAGCTCCCTGCAGAGCCAGGCCTGGTTTCCATAGTGCCCTGCCCAGCCCTGCAGCAAGGTCAGAGTCTATTGGCATCTCCTATTTTTAGCTGCTGGGGCCGGGGCCTCCTGTTTCCTTTCCCATATCAAAGCGGGAAGTCCACCTGGCAGTCCTCTCAGTAGACCTCGCTTTTCAACAGCTCCAGGCAGGGGCAGGGGCTCTGATTTTTGCATATCAAAGCTTTCTTGGGAGAGCCCGCACCTCCCAGCTTTCTCACAGCTGCTGTTTGCTGAGGTGCCTACACCTCCCCCCCCCCCACCCCCTCGGATTAAGGAAACTAAAGCCTTCACGTAATTCACAGCTGACCAGGGACAGACCCATGTTACCAATGTTGACGCCGAGGCTCAGAGACACTTTAGCTTGCTTGTAAAAGTCAAAGCAAGGGACAGAGGTGCCACTCAGAACCTGGGCTCCTTCCAAAGCCCCGCACTTTCCTTCCATTGCACATGGCAACGTCACACACACACACACACACACACACACACACACACACACACACACACACACACTGAAAGGGACTGTTCAGTCAATAGCCATTGAGCACTCTTTGGCTTGGAGCTTACTCGATGCCAAGCTCCAGAGTGCATAGGCGAGCTGGGCCCTGCCACTGCAGTGGCATTCCGGTGACGGAGCCAGGCCAGGGGTCCTTGGAGCAGAGGGGTTCAGTCCTCCACTTGGGGAGCCCGGGGGCTGGCTGCCTAAGCAGCACGGATGAGCTGAACAAGGCGTGGGAGGCAGGGTGAACGTGGGGTGGGCCACAGAGGCTGAGAGGACTGCCAGCAGAGGAGCAGCGGGATTTGATGGATAATGATAACCTCCTTAAGAAGCAGGAGCAGCCCTGCCCACACCCGGGGCAGGTGGCCCACAGGACAGGTGTGGCCATTGTCAGTCCACGCCTCAGCCCCTCCCAGCATAAAAGGGGGCCGTTTTATGGTGGTAAGTTTTACAGCAGGAAGTGCGGGCAAAGGTGATTTGGGTCTCGCTCCCAGGCCTTGGGACATGGTTTTCCTCTGGTCTTTGTCGTGTGGCATTGGGTTGGTGGGTGAGGAGGGGCCCAGCGCTGCGAGGAAAGGATGAGAGGGTGTCATCGCTGGTGATCTGGTGATTGTCGTCGCATTTGCCGCCTGTGTGGAAACCACAGCGCGACCCCCTCCTGCTCCCGATGTGGGGAGTATAAGCACGAAGAGCGGGGCCAGTCGCGGTCCTTCCATCTGAATGGCTCAGTGTAGTTTCCATGGACACTCAGCTGACTCTCCAGGGCGTCAGGGGCTAGCTCAGTGCACAGAGGAGGACACCGGGGCTCAGGGGGGCCCTCGCTCACAGCCACGCAGGGGGTGGGGGGAGAGCAGGGCTGGGTCCTAAAATGTGATGTGCAGCCTTCATTTTAGCACAGGAACGTGGGAAGCGGCTCCAGAAATGGTGCAGCCTTGTTTCTGAATGCCAGCAGGGCAGGGCGAGTCTTCTCCTGCCCGGTGCAATACCAGCAGTGAGTGGGAAGCTGTTGGTAAAGGGGTCTCTGCAGCTGACGTGGACACATCCCCCAGAAAACCTCCAGTAGCTGGTGTGAATGGTGAGCAGGAGGAGCGATCCCCCCCATGGACGGAGAAGGCACTTGCAGCTGCGTGTGGCATGGAGACCCAGCGCTGGCTGCTGACTCAGCAGGAGTTAGACTCCTGCCTCCTCCTGGTTAGCGCTGTGATCCTGGGTCTTCTCCCACGCCTTCCCCACAGCCACCTGGCCACCTTCATCGGCTCTGAGGCCCGAGAAAGAAATGAATGTGATAGGGTCCAGTGTGTCTTGTTTTCTCCCAACACCACCACACCATGAGTTCTGACACTGTCTGCCTGGAGGTGGCTTCAGATCCCGCAGGTTGAGGGCTCCGTCTCACGAGCCATCCCCACCAAACCCACACACATTCCAGGTGCCAGTCACGGTGACATCCTACAGCCAGCCTCAGGCGGGTCACAGCCAGTCCTGTGGCAACAATTAGAGCAGATGGGCCTTGCTAGGTCATCCCACATCAGGATTTATGGCAAGGATTGCGTGTGCCCGTGGATGAGACTTGGGTGAGAAATTCAGATCAGAAACCCCCTTTCTAATACCCGTTAGAGTTTTTGGGTTAAACGTCTTGCCCTCGGAGCTCAAAAATGCACCTGTTTCCAGCGATGCTTTTATCGTCTGTGAAGCGGGCTGGAGCCAGTTGCCGGGTTCTTTGCTGACAGGCGGCCTGGATGTGGTTAGCCAGGATGCAGGTGGACATCTGAGACAGGTCCTGCTGCTACAAGCCCCCGAACCAAAGCCAGGATTCGATTTACTAAATGCCACGCAGGGCCTTCGTGCCCGGTGGTTTTGTGGGATCAAGTAGCAGTGGTCCGAGTCTGGTCAGCTCCCCCCGCTACGAAGAAAGCTGGGTCACTTTGAACTGGTTGGATACAATGTTATGATAGGTTTTATCATCTCTCATTTTAGGATGGTGACTGGGTTTCTAATCGCGTCTGGGCGCCCCAGGGTCAAGGAGCTTTAAAAAAAGGGAGCTGTTTCTGATGCCTTTCCCCGCTTAGCAAGCCCCAGACTTTTTGCAGGCCTCCGTCCTGGCAGGGCCTGCTCTGGGCAGGGCTCCAGGCGGCTGCTGGGCAGGAAGGAGGGAGGCCAGCCGGCATGGATAAGGGAGCTACTGTGGCAGCGTGGCCAGAGGGGAGAGCAGCCTGCTGTCCAGTAGAGGCATCTAGCCGTGATCGGTCTGAGTTAACGCCGGCTGCAGACGGGTGGCCGGTAAACTGTGAAATTGAGATTTTCGCAGAGCTCAGAGAGAGCGGTTTTCAGAGAGCGGTTTTCAGAGGTGTCATGATCCCCAAGGTCACTCGGAGCCATTCGTTCCTGGGCAGGAGAGGATGTGGGAGGACTTTAGCCCTAAGTGTTTAATGGGCACCCTGGGCACCTTTGAAAAACACGCCTGTTGCCGAAACGGGTTTGGCTCGGTGGACCGTTCAGTCTGCGGACTGAAAGGTCCCAGGTTCGATTCCGGTCAAGGGTATATACATTGGTTGCGGGTACATCTCTGGTACATCTGTGTGCAGGAGGCAGCTGGTCGATATTTCTCTCTCATCGATGTTTCTAGCTCTCTATCCCTCTCCCTTCCTCTCTGTAAAAAAATCAATAAAATATTTAAAAGAAACACACGCCCGCTCTGAGAACCTGTTACACGGATCTTGGGTGGGACCTGGGTCTTTGCAAGTGTCACGCTCAGCCAGGGGAAAACCATGCCTAAGGAAACAGGTTGGACTTGGATCCAGGTGGGGGGTGGAAAACAGAGGATTAGTGGGGCTTACCCTTGTTCTGTCCAAAATGTGATAAAGAGACGTGAGATAGGAAGGAAATGGGGCGACGCCCCTCTAAGCTCGGAGCCTCTGGGCTCATGAGCGTAGGAGGCTGGTTGCGTGGAGGACCTCCTTGGCCCAGTCATGATGGATTCATTGGAAAGGGAGAAGAACTGCGTGAGTCATAGCCATTCGCATGATACTCACTTTGGCAGGAAAATACATAGGATGATACTTCCATCAAGTCCGTATCTGCTCTCCTCCCCGGGGCCAAGTGCAGGGTTTTCCTCCTGGTTGAGGGGCGGCAGTGAAATCTACTTCTAATGAGGCAAATGGATCATCGAAAACTGCCCGAGAGGCAAACCACCAAAGAAAGAATAACGCAAATGTCCACCCGGGAAAATAATCTTCTTGGTAAAAGTAAAAGAAATTATAATGCGTCAGAGTCAAAAGAAAAGAAAAGAAAAAGAGTAAACAGTGTTCATACCCCCGTATCCAAAAATAACCCCTTGAAATCTTTCTGGATCTAGCTGGACAGAAAATACTAATTTTGTGTAAATGGGGCCTGATTGTTTTCATCTGACATTGTGCTGTGGGTCTCTTACCACATCAGTAACCATAGGCCCCCATCAGTTTGAAAGGTGGAATAGTATTTCATTACATGGATGAGCCATTTTTAAAACTCCGTCTTTGTTGGTGGGCATTTAGGTCATTTCCAATCCAGAGTCGTGCACAATGAGAGAAAAAGCATTCTGCACGTGTGCCTGTGAGATGGCACCCGGCGCGGCGATCTGCAGCTTTTGTGACACGGTTGCTTAGCCGGGGAGAGGAGAGGACAGAAGCCCGCGTTCTCCCCACTGCACTGCTCACGGCGCATTGTGTTATTATAATTCATCTGGTATTTGCTTTTGTGCTTCCTTATTCCGCTCCTCCCACGCAGCCCTAATGGGCTCTCCCGTGAGGGGTAGAGTACACACAGTGCTAATTTAGCCCCGTCCTTGCTCATTGTTAGGATGTGCCCGGTTCAGATTGCCTCTGCGAGTCTGTTGACAATGGGCAGAATGGCCTCTGGTTCTGCACAGCTCTGGAGAAACCCACTCTGGCTGTGTCCCTCCGGCTGATGCTCTCAGCAGTGTGCGGGAAGTGACAGGGAAAGTCTGCCTTGCGTAAAACAGGCTGGACATGTATGGATGTCTCAAGAATTTAATAAGGGGCGGCTGGGCACCATGCTCTTTGCAGAAATGACGTGAACCAAGGGCCCCGCCAACCGGGGCTTAGTTCCCGCCAGGGGGCTCACAGTGTTGCATTCCAAAAATGTCCATTTCCGTGGAGGGTAAGCCTTTTTTTTTCTTTCTTTCAGCACTGGCTGGATCATTCCAAACCCATTAAAAAGCAGATGAAAAGTAAGTAAGCCGCATTTGGCCTACTCATCCATTTCTTTTATCGGGAAAGCAAACACTCCTTTGCCAGTGTTTTGAAGTATTCTGTTTTCACTAGAACTTGGGAACTACCATTTATAAAGATGCCATTTTAAGCAGATCATTTTTAATTTCTTAATTGAAAATTGAGAAGTTAAATTTTTTGGCCACGTGTTCGAGTTTAAAATTGGAACAAGAGTCTTTAGTAGATATTAAAAAACAAACAAAAAAAAAAAACTAACACTGTGCTCTCATTTGAAGTCATTCACCCCTGCCAGCGAGATCCGACTCATCCACTGTTCGAAAGCAGGACCTGACATTGTCACAGTCCTCTCTAAGGAGTGATCGAGGGGACTCAGAAAGTTGGGGGCAGGAGGGTTCCATGAGTCAGGCCCAGCTCTGGTGTTTCCCGTATGGTACCCACCACATTTATTCAGTGTTGTGAATGCTTGGGTCATTTTTTAAAATTTCATGCTTTAAGGTATGGTATTTAGATTACAGAATGTTTATATGTCACTTTTCTTTAGCCCAGTGATTCTCAACCTTTCTAATGCCACGACCCTTTAATACAGTTCCTCCTCATGGTGTGGTGACCCCCAACTAAAACATTACTTTTGTTGCTACTTCATAACTGTAATTTTGCTACTGTTAATGAATCATAATGTAAATATCTGTGTTTTCTGATGATCTTAGGCTCTACAGCAGCAATTCTCAACCTGTGGGTCACTACTAAAGTTTAGCCATTAGTATTTTGTAAAACGTTAAAATCCTTGTGGAGCATCATGGCAGTCAGCGAGGAGAATGAAATGTCAGCTCTTAGTAATGCCTCTAGGTCAAGCATGTCAAACTCAAAGGCTAACATGGGCCAAATAAACGAGCTATGCGGCCTGTGGGCCATGAGTTTGACATACTTGCGCTAGAGCAGTGTTTCCCAAAGTGTGGTACACATACCCCCAGGGGTACGGGAAGAGTTGGTGGGGGTACGCGTTGCACCGGAGTTTGGTGGGAATATGCACTGCACCGTGCTTGGCTGCACCTAATTCTACGTTCTCATGAGTATGAGGGGTACTCAGCGTTACAAAAATTATAGATGGGGTACACATATGTCAAAAGTTTGGGAAACACTGCTCTAGAGGATCATGGTTTCCCTCCAGCAGGGAAACCACCTTTGCTGCCATGATTCTTTTTAGCTCTCCAGCCTAGGATGGAAAAGAATTCACTAACCCTGTCGTATGCCCTCCCATGCTGCTGCTGAATGTGTTGATTTAATGTGTTTTTTTCCTTTGGTCCACTCTGCGATCTTCTTCAACCTGCCACCTCCAAATGTTTAGTTGGACCTGCTTACGCTTTGCACTTTCGAGTGAAATACTATTCTTCAGAACCGAACAACCTTCGTGAAGAGTTTACAAGGTAGGACAGAATGCAGAATGGAATCCGCCCCCCCTCGCACTTGCCTCACGTGTATGGAGGTTATGGGTCTCCCTAAACTGTGGGTTTGCCTCCCCCTCCCTCTGCTGCCCTTCCATTCTGAGCAAGAGGTCTGAGCATTTCGCCTGTGCTTATCCCGGTATTCTGTTGAAAACCCACACTTTGCTTAATTTGACCTTTTTCTTCGTGAGGCCAGCGTGCAAGGGTTTGTTTTCTTCTCACCTTTCTGTGTGGTTGACCTCGGGCGATTTGGTTAGTTGTTCTGTGGCACTTTATTTTTTTGTGTCCGGCAAGAAAAGGGAAGGCAGGGATTGGAAGAGCCTTTCTCAGTCCAAAATTGCCATCTTATTATCTCTGAAGGGACTTCAAAATACTTCAAAATATCCCCGTGGTTGTTACAATGCCAACATCGTTAGAATCCCGTTATGTTATCTTTCAGCCCCACTGGCTTTCTTTTATGTCTCCCCGACTTCAGAAACAGCCTTGAAGCAAAAGAGACCTAAAACATGTTAGGTGTGGCATTCCCCTCCAGCCACCCTTTTATCCGTGAAATTCTCTGCCCAGTCCTGCCCGATGTTTCCAGAACCTCCTTGTCGTGGTCTGTGATGGACAGCGGTGGTGCTGGGTAGTCCATGGTGGACCACTAGCTTAGAGAGAACCATCGAAGCAGCACTTCAAAGACTGCTTATTCCCCTTTACCCCCCTCCCCATCGGAGAGGCCTATGGGGTTAGGTTTTCCTGTAGGAATTGGAAGTTTGGGCCACATCACATTGTCCTCCTTGATGGGAATACTTAGTTCAGTGGTGGTTAAGCGCTTGTCGCAGGCAGGAACATTCTGAAATGAACTTTCACTCACCCCCCTCCACTCCGTTGGTTTCTGGGTCCTATATCCATGCCACGGAGAGTGACTATAGGCATTGTTTCCAACGTTCAAACAAATTCAATTATTCTAGTGTTTTCCTTCCGAGTCCTTTGTGAAACATGCTGTTCCTGGCTCTCATCAAAGTCAGTGGTTCGGCACTGGGGTGGTGTGAATCAGAAACACGATAGATTCCTGGGGACTCTGACTCCCTTGGTATGGAGCGAGGACTGTGGGCATCCTTTTGGTTTTCACAAAGCACTCTAAAGCGCTTCCGTGCTCACGTGCATCTGGTAAGAAACTACTTAAGCCAAGACGCTATTTTTTTTTTTTTTACTTAAGTGAACCCTACATGTGTTATTTGCTTTCCCATTTTTTATTACTCCTTTAATAGCAGCTGCAGTTTAGTTCCAGGATTTTTGAAGTGTGTGTGTGTGTGTGTGTGTGTACACAGTTTTTTAAAAAATGGAGTTTGCAGTTCAACTGCACCAGGAAAAAGAGTCTTACATAGCTGCTGACGACAGTCTGCTGTAAACTCTTTGATACAGTCTGAGGCAGCCTTTCTGGACTCCCCAGTGGGGCTGGCTAAGGGCCCCACACGGTGGCTCCACCTGTCCGTGTGCTTGGACACGTCACATGCCTGCTGTGTGCGAGCGCCATGTGCAGTGCCTGGCCCTCTCCCGGGACACGGAGGGTTGCGTGGAAGCCGCCATTGGACCTTGCCGTGCCCCATGTTTCATCCTCCAAGTATCTTGCGAGTTCCTGCATGCATTCCTTTTCCTGGTTAAGTCCTGGGATGCCTTCGTGCAGTCTCGGGAAGGGATGCTTCCACCACCGTTCCCATTGGAGTTGGACTCCCTCCTTACAATGCAGAATTCGGGGTTGCGTGCAGGGCGGGTTCCTGCTGGGCGGTCGGGATCAAGCGGGGGAAAGAGTGATCCTCTGTTGACTTTTGTATATGTTTGTCAGGTACCTGTTTGTTTTACAACTCAGGCATGACATTCTTTCAGGAAAGTAAGTACATTTCTGTTCTAACTCTTAAACCCAGGATAGATCATATAGTCTATTTCTAAATGACTCACTATTTTTTTTTGTTTGTTTTTTTGTTTTTTTCATTCTCTTACCCTTGTTCCCTTTTCAAAATTAAAAAAAAAAAAAAAGTACACCAGGCATTGTAAAGTGAGTCTAATACTTGTATCACTGTCATCATCTTATTTTAAATGGTTACTCTATGGCTTGAAGCATTTCCAAGAGCATTTAATATCTTAAGTGATGTGTATTTGGGAATTATTCTCTCCCTGATCGCATCACTGCCCCATTCATAATGGCTTTTTGTCGTATTCGCAAGCAAGATACGTTATTAGTATGTATACACTTACAAGTATTTGGACAGTCAAAAAGTCTCATTCATCACCATCAGCATCAAATAACGCAAAGAGGTAATGTCCTGATTCTGACAGAAGGAGGTTTAGACATCTCATTTCCTCTGCCCCTCTTAAAAGTGGTTGGTTTTTTTTGTTGTTGTTGTGGTTTTTAAAATATATTTTATTGATTTTTTTATAGAGAGAAAGGGAGCGGGATAGAGAGCTAGAAACATCGATGAGAGAGAAACATCGACCAGCTGCCTCCTGCACACCCCCTTCTGGGGATGTGCCGGCAACGAATGTACATGCCCTTGACCGAATCAAACCTGGGACCCCTCAGTCCGTAGACCGACGCTCTATCCACTGAGCTAAACCTGTTTCTGCGAAAGTGGTTTTTAAACACAAGGCCTCTGGCTGCACGGTGATTGGGAGGATAAGGAGTATGGGCACTGGCCTGGTTGATTTTACACGCAGTGTTCATCTGTTTTAAAGATAAGAGACTGACAGTCCTAGCTCTTACAGCGGTGTCATTTTTCAGCCTCAGTATTGACTATTTTCTTGTACATGAAAAACTTTTAAGATTCTACTGAATCTAAAATGCAACACCTGATATTGACAAGAGTACATTTTGATTTTGAATATAATTCGAAGGGGATTGAAAATGTGATTTCTGAATTTGCAAACCCTCCCTAGAATACCCACTATAAAATCCTTAATAGAACACGTAGATTGTACAGTGTATACATTTGCCTTCCTCAGCCATGCAATACAGATCTTGGATTGATGTGTGTATTATGAGTGTGTGTGTATTTTGACCTCCCTCCCTCTTTCTCCATACCGTGCTCCTGATCCTGAAGGCCTCTCGACTCTAGTAAATATCCTCAGTTTGGAAAAATACCAATGGCAGACACCCTGCATTTGAATAGCACTTTGCAGTTTCCATACACTTCAGCCTGATGCACTGTCTGTACTTCAAAGCAGGTGGATGTTCTGGTCCCAGCACTGCCCCCTACTGGCTGGATGACCTTGGGCAAGGCAATCCTGCACTTGGCACCTCATCTCCTAATGGGGGTTAGGGAGCACCAAGGACACTCTAGGGGTTTACAGACTCCGCTCATTGACCAAATGGGATCATATAGATGAAAGGCTTTGAAAACTATGAAGTGCTATACCAATGTACGTCATTATTATTTTTCTAACTAAATGTGTCACGTGAATTACGAATGAGATCCTGATTTGCAGTAATACCTGTCTATGGCTCAATCTCAGTTATACTTAAGAGAAGGCTTGAGTGTATCCAACTGTCCTGGCACTGTCAGATACTGTGTCTGTCTGCTTACTTTCAATAGTATGACCTCATTTCCAGAAGGGTTTAAGGCAATGTATCAAGATAAAATAAGTTTAAAAATAATAAGCCAAAGGGAAGGCTTCTCATTCTACTTCCCAAACTCCTTCTCCCCCTTTATTTATTTATTTATTTATTTATTTATTTATTTATTTATTTACTTATTTATTTATTTTGCGAAATTTGCTAAAATGGCCCAAAGGGTTGATAGAACCTAGACCTAGATTGGATTCTTCCACCGTATTATGAGAACTGACTTTGGGAAGTATGTAACGCAAGTCAGCTTGGTTGCATTATTTAATGTAGACGGCTGAACTAGAAACCAGAGATCAAGAATTATGACCTAAAGATCACTACCTTCTGACCAATGACTTGAATGACACTTTGTATAGTTATGAGTATTAAAGTCCATGTACAGAATTAACTTATTTCTTTTCTTTTTTTTTCCTTCAAGATTGAAATGCCCATATGAGACGGCTGTGGAATTAGCTGCTCTCTGCCTACAAGGTACACTGTTCTTGAGTGGTCCTTAGTATTCTAACGTCATTACTTCCATCTCAACAAACGGGTGTCTGCTGTGCACCAGGCACAGTGCTGGGCTTTGGGGGTATCAAGGGATACAATATGGTCTCCGTCCTCAAGGAGCTTGCAGTCCCACGAGGTCCACATGGCAGGACCACATACTGTGTGTGCACCGAGTACAATGTGGTCCCTTTAGGAGCAGAGACCTGCAGGAGGCTTGGAAGAGGAGGGCCTGGGGCGGGGGGAGTGGGGGGAGAGATGACTAAACAAATATGATCAAAATAGGGAGGCATGTGCAGAGAAGTACCAGCAGTTAAGGGGTGTCAGAGGGTGAGGTTCAAGAAGCTGAGTAGGTGGGTGCCTTAGACCCCTTTAAAGAGCAGGGATTTCATGCTGTCAGCAGTAGCGCCTCTGGAGGCTGGGAGTGGGGGTGCAGTGAGGAGGTGTTGCTGTGATAAAAAGAAACTGATTAGGCCTGGGGTCTCAACACACACACACACACACACACACACACACACACACACACACAGCAAAACCAACAAGAGCGTTGTCCATGCTGGGAGAGAGAGATCAGGGATGACTCAGGGTGGAAGAAGAGTTGGAATCTGGTGGAGGAAACACGAGTGTAGGATGTCTTGGCCGAAGAGATGCCAGTGGGACCTCCACTAGCTTCTTGGATTAAGCAAATCTGACTTGGTGAGAAGCATCGCCAGGGGAGTCATCGGCACGTGGGTGGGAATGGATGGTAAAGGTCTGCCTGCGTTGACTGTACCATCGATGTGATGCATCCAAACGCACAGGAAACCATCACTGCCACCGTCCCCGGCAGTCGGATTAATTAGGAGGGTACTGGCGTGTACGTGGCACATAAGGGATTTCAGCAGTACGTCAGGTAGACATATGCTGTGGACTCATTAACCAGTGTGCTCATGGGCACCCACGGAATAATGAATTATTCATTCATAATTAGCAATTATTTTTGAACATCGTAATAAGATCTGCCTCCTCACTTTTGTATTTACCAATTTCTACAAGTTGATCTCAGATGAGAAAGTCAGTACTATGTAGAAAGCCGGGACATCAGCATGGTAGACAAGCAGGAGGAAGGCAGGAACCCTGTGCCTGCCATCCACAGACAGAGACTCTATGTGTTTAGAGCGAAGTGTTCAAAATGTAATTCTGTGCAGAGTCGTAGACACACTTTTTGTATGATTCTTCTACTTGGCATTTTTTTAGTACATGTATTTTGTCACGTTTATACTCATCTCGTCAAGATGGTTTTTAATGACTTCAGGTTATTCCCATTCTCTGATACTCTCATTCCTTAGTCAGCGTTCTTTTTCTCTCCTTGGGGTTTTGGCATATAGTAGGTGCTCAGTAAGTGCAGGATGGATTGAATGACGTTGAAGGGGCCCCCAAGGACTTTGATGGAAGGGGGAGCCTGCCCCTGAGGTGTGAAGGCATTGGTGGGAGAGGGGACCATATTGTCATCAGTAATTGTCTTTGCCGAGTACAGTGTCAAATGCTTCACATCCCTATGCAAACCCACACAGACATTCTAGTGAGCTTTGCAGTCTGGGGCAGGCTGGCTCAGCTGTGGTCGACCTGCAAAGCACGCTGCCGCCTTCACCGATGGGATGGGAAGGAGGGGGCGTGGAGGGACACATATTCTAATGCTCAGTGCTTATGTAAGTGCCGTAAGGATGGGTGATGGCTTGGGGAACTTGGAAATGGACTGTCCACTTGGACTGGGTGTAGATTTCCCCAGCTTGTCAAGTAGCCTCCATCCACCCTGGAGTTTCTGAGTTGCAAGGAGGTCACACCACCAGGCTTGGTGGCCCAGCAGCAGATGCCAGGATGTGGCTAATGGGATGAAAGCAGCCATGTCAGACCTGGGGTCCCCAGTCCACTGGAGAGGTTTCTTCCTAAGGCCAGAGGCACGATATATAAACCTGTCTGCTGTCTTGAATGATTAGAGGATGAGGTACATGTCATTGCCCACTCTCCTATGCCCTCCAAACCCCTGGGTGATGAAGGCATCACCACCTTCACCAAGTCCAGCTCCAGTGGAACTACATCCTTTCCCCAAGAACCCATACAGACCCGAACACCAGCTCTCCGTGAGCCCTTCCTGAAGAAAGCACCATCTGAGTTGGAGCCACGTTAGTGTAACTTAGACGCACACATTATGTGAGGAACAAATGAAAAGACTGGAGACTTAGACATGTAGATGTCTACGGACGTTCTCGTTCCATTGTTCCTCCATGCCCCCTCTGCCCATCCCAACAGGAAATGCCTGCTTTCCAGTTCAGCCACAGCCGAGCCAGCCTGCCCCAGACTCTAAAGATCACTAGACGTCTGTGTGGGTTTGCATAACGTGAAAGGTCGAGTTTCCTCCCGAGCTTGAGCCTTGCAGACACGTCTTTTCGGTTGCCCTTGAGTGAGTGGCGCTTCCAGCGTTAGGATGCAGTGGCCTTGCGTAGAGGCTGTGCTCCTTGGGGAACTAAATTCCCGGTAGGTTAGAAATTCAATTCAGGCAAAAAGAAAAGCAAGGGAGGAACGAAGGAATGATCATTGGTTGTGTGCCTGTGATCTTGTTTCATCCTTGTCGCAGGCATTGTTTTACAGACAAAGATCAGAGACCCAGGCGAAGTGCCTTGCCCAGGTCACCCAGATAGCATACGGCAGAGGTGGGCTTCCCCCTCCTGGGCCTGCGCTCTTCCCGCCCCCTCCACAGCGGGGCCTGGGCTGCAGAGTTCGCAGACTGAGGGAAGTGTTTTTTTGTTTGTTTTTAAATATATTTTTATTGATTTCAGAGAGGAGGGGAGAGGAAGGAGAGAGAGAGAAACATCAAGATGATGAGAGAGAATCATTGATCAGCTGCCTCCTGCATGCCCCCTCCTGGGGGATCGAGCTCGCAATCTAGGCATATGCCCTTGACCGGAATCAAACCCTCGACCCTTCAGTCTGCAGGCCGACGCTCTATCCACTGAGCCAAGCAGGCCAGGGTAAGTGTCAGGTTTTGCCAGCAGATTCTTGGAAAGCAGACATGCTATCTCACACGTGGTCTCCCTCGGGCCTGTTTTAGCCCAGCCGTGGTGAGGAAGGACGCCAGACCCCTTGCGAGTCCCAGGGAACCCTGATTATGGTCTGGCTTCCTTCTCATGTGCTTGAGGGTATCAGTGGCCTTGTCTACACACAGCCACTAAGCGCAGGGCTTCACTGCCTTCCTTCGGCCCGTGGTGCAAGCAAAGAGTGGTTCATATCAAGGAGATTTCTTCCCAGACTGCCCCCCCTCCCCCGGGCTTGCCAATTTCAGGGTGACCCCGTGGTCAGTGGTCAGAGGTGGCCTCCACCTCAGAAGCCCAGACCTCGCCTTCGCTGGGTCAGTACTTCCAGGGCAGTCTTCCTGAGTGACTGTGCCCACCCTGACCCGGGCCACTGGTGGTCTCAGGATTGCCGTCCAGAAGAGGGGCTGCATCAGGCCAGGAAACACTCCCCAGGTCCCTCCCTGGGTCAGGCACGGTCTCGCAGAGTCTTCCCACCACCCGTCTCAGTCTGTATTAACGACTTCCTCTGTGTGATCGGGTAAGTTTTAGCGACCTCTGCCAGCAGCTGGAGTCCTCAGCAGCCACACCAGCCTGGCACAGCCCCTGTGGGGTAGGGAGAGGGCTGCTGGGGACACAGCGAGTTGCTGTCCTTGGAGGGACTCAGGCATGTGCTGGCTGGTTGGTCGGTTGACTGGATTTGTTGGGTTAAGCAGTAGTTCTCAAAGTCCGTTCCCTGGGTCAGCCGCATTGGCACCGCCTGGGAACTTGGTCAGAAAGGCACCTTCTCTGGCCTTGCTCCGGACCCACGGAATCAGCATCCCTGGGGGTGGGATCCAGCGACACGCGCTGTACCAAGCCCTCCAGGTGACCCCGATGCACGCTGGCGTTTGCAGACCACTATTGTAGATCAGTGCTTCTCACGGTAACGTGCGCACCATTTCCCTGCTGGGCCCCTTAAGAAATGGCAGGTCTGGCCTAAACCGGTTTGGCTCAGTGGATAGAGCGTCGGCCTGCGGACTGAAAGTTCCCAGGTTTGATTCCGGTCAAGGGCATGTACCTTGGTTGCAGGCACATCCCCAGTAGGGGATGTGCAAGAGGCAGCATTCTCTCTCACTGATGTTTCTAACTCTCTATCCCTTTCCCTTCCTCTCTGTAAAAAATCAATAAAATATATTTTCAAAAAAAAAAAAGAAAAAGAAAAAAAGAAATGGCAGGTCTGGCTTTGGGAGGTCTGAGGTGGGGCTGAGAGTCTGCATTGCATTGTGGGAAGGCTCCCAGGTGACACTGGTGCTGCTGGTCCGAGTTCGACCGACCCCCCTTTGTGTAGTGAGATATCAGAGGAGCCTCTGGGGTATTCCTTTTCACCGCGGGGTCAGCTTCCTGAGCGGCAGAGGTGCAGGAGAGGTGGTGGATTCTCCCGTTCGTGTCCTGGAGGAATGGGGCCCCTGGTGGGGCATGTGGTGAGAGCAAGGACCCTCAGTGGGGATCGCCCACATGGCTGCCCCTCCTCTCTGCATCACTGGCTTTCTCCCCGGTTCTGCCTGAGCTTCAGCAGTTGCTCCTGCAGCCCTCACATCCCCTCCTTCCCCCACTCCCTCCCTCCTTCACTCGCTCTCCCAACATATTCTTCCCCTGGATTCTGCATGTACTGAATTCTTGATTGGTCCTCTCGGCACTGCAGACCCTGGAGTGCCGCTCAGACCCACCTCCTTCACGAGAGCTTTGTTAAATGAGTTTCTGGGCAGGTCCCTGCTCCCTGCAGTTGCCTTTTTATTGCACATTCAGGCTCTACCACTTGGCGGGGGAAATAGACTCAGGGCCTCCCCGGGCAGGAGCAGTAATCGGGAGAAAGACAGTAATCACTGAGTGGATGGTGCGGTGCCCCATGGGAGGATTCTGAATGTACATGTGGGTGCCGAGCGGGCATGGGGTCCTCCCGGGGAGGAGAGAGTTGTACATTGGGGCGCCTGTGCTTCCTTACCGTGCACAATGCCTTTGGACCTGGTTGCAGCAGTAACGAAAAGCATTCACTGTCTCCTGTTATTCTCCTCCTTATGACACCTGCAGCGGAGCTTGGGGAATGTGAGCTTCCAGAACACACCCCGGAGCTTGTGTCTGAGTTTCGGTTCATTCCAAATCAGACAGAAGCGATGGAATTCGATATCTTCCAGAGATGGAAAGAGTGCAGGTACCTTGACGCGTTTATCTTGTGATATGTAAGCATTTGCACGATTCTCTCATCGATGGTAAAACGGCAACCCCAACTCTCCACCTCTCTCTCCCGTGCTTCAGTCCTGTTTTTCCTAAGACCCACACGACGGCTCTCTCTTTCCAGAGAGGTACAGTAAGCACCCAAGCATATCCTGCTTCTCTGAATTACAGAGCCCGGGCCTGATCTGCTCGTTGCTGCCCAAAATGTCCCTTTTCTCTTGGCCTTGAAACCTTCACATGCCTGGATCTCTGTCCATGGTCTGAACGTCTAGCGTGGACTCTTCAGATGTAGCCCATGCTGTCCCTACAGGGACACTCATATCGGAGACCACGTCGTTTCAGAACATGTGGTCACTGCAGCTAAAACCAGCCCCGCCATTCATCTTTGGGCTGTTTCTTTCTTTCCCCCATACACCACACCCCCCACTCTGCTGCTTCCAAGCCTGGGCTGCCAGGAGCGCCCACCCTCACATTTCCCAGACGTTAGCCTCTTTTTTTTCCCGGCCCTTCTTCCCCAAACTCAGCCCGCTGTTCCAAGTCACTCCAGGACTCAGAAATTCCTCTGTTCCTCGGTCATTCTGAAGGGCATATGACTTCTTTGAAAACGAAGAGTGACATTGGAGTGTTCCGTTTTTAAATTTTTTTTTAATAAATATGCTTTTATTTATTTCACAGAAGAAGGGAGAGGGAGAGCGATAGAAACATCATGGATGAGAGAGAATCATGGATTGGCTGTCTCCTGCACACCCTACCCCCACCCCCACACTAGGGATCAAGCCCGCTACCCAGGCGTGTGTGCCCTGATGGGGAATTGAACCGTGACCTCCTGGCTCCTAGGTCAATGCTCAACCTCTGAGCCACACTGGCCGGGCTGTTTGTTAGTGCTTCCTTGTACCACATAGAAATGTGCGGTTGCAGAGTCATCTGCACCCCTGCACCCCCTCGCTGCAGGCAGCTGTTGTGTTCTCCGTCTTTCCTTTGCATATAATACCAGTATCTGCACACCAATGAATGCTTTCCTTAAGTATTCACATTATAAACGCTGCTCTGCCACTTTCCTATCTAATTAGAACGGTCTGTCTGGAGGTGTGATAGAATAAATGGGTGTCCCCTGTTCCTTTAATGGCTGCATAAGCTCCCTGAGTGCGTGGCCGTGCCCTTCAGAACCTCACGGGTGTACGCATTGCGGTTTACATGTCTCTCCGTTGGTTTCTCCAAGGGGAAAGAGCCCTGCCCAGGCGGAGCTGTCCTACCTGAATAAGGCGAAGTGGCTGGAAATGTATGGGGTAGACATGCACGTGGTCAGGGTAAGAACTGGGCGCGTCCTGCCCCTGGGTCTCGCTGTGCCGAGCGGTGGGGTAAACGGTGGGCAAACGGAGTTAACGTGGTGACCGAACTGTTTTTTGCGTTTCTGCTCTGTGACCCCCTGCTAGAACCTTCTACCGACTGTCACTTCGTTTGTTTGTAGGGAAGAGATGGCTGTGAATATTCTCTTGGACTGACCCCGACAGGCATATTAATCTTTGAAGGAGCTAACAAAATAGGCTTATTCTTTTGGTAATTTAGTTTTGTCTAATATTAAAAAATGTCTTTTCCTATTTTGTGATGCAATTATATGGGATGGGTGATTACTGAGGGCTATTTGCAATCCTCCCCCACCCCACCCCCGATTCATTTCAAAGACTCACCATCCTCTGATATCTGTGGGTGTATGGCATTGGTGGTGAAATCTCTGGGTAATGGCGCTTAAATGAACAAATGATTTCCTAGCAAATCCACGCTTTAAAAGTAGAGAGGACATTGCTGTTTCCCTGTAGATGGTGCTTTTACAATGTGTTCTCTCTGACCAGGCCTAAAATCACCAAAATGGATTTCAAAAAGAGCAAACTGACACTGGTGGTGGTGGAGGATGATGATCAGGTAAGCCTTGCTCCTGGCCTGACCTCCCCCCTCCACTCCCCCCTCCACCACCCCCGGGGATAATCCTCCATCCGAGTTCCTGACGCCCACCGACACGAGAACCCTGTGCTTCCCCGCGAAGGGCCGGGAGCAGGAGCACACGTTTGTATTCCGCCTGGACAGCGCCAGGACCTGCAAGCACCTCTGGAAGTGCGCCGTCGAGCACCACGCCTTCTTCCGGCTGCGGACTCCGGGGAACAGCAAGTCCAGCAGATCCGACTTTATCCGGCTGGGGTCCCGCTTCCGATTCAGGTGGGCACCGGTGATGTGTTCTGTGGGTGGAGCCACGGGTCTGCCCCCGGGGGCTCCTGTGGGGCATCCCGTCCCTGCTTCTCTAAGGTCTGATCTGAAGCGCGTCAGCTGCTGTTCTCCTTGATGGAATGGGGTAATCATAACAGAGTTTTCAGAGCTGACATGTGGCTCGAACTAGCCTGTCTGACTCCGTAAAACGCTAGCTACCTGTGGCTATTTAGAGTCATTCATATTGAAGGGATTTCTAACCTGTAGCTGTTCAGCCTTGCCAAGCACGTTCAGGGCGCCCAGAGCACACCGGGCAGGGGGCCGTCAGGCCGGGCAGGGCAGCCGCAGGGCGTAGGCATCCCTGCGGCAAGCTCTGTGCACCGCGCTGCACGGGGCTCTGTGTGTCCCAGCTCATAGTCCTCCCGGCAGCCTTCAGAAGATAGGTCCTCTCATTATCCCCATTTTACAGACAAGGAAGCTACAGGCAGGGGTTATATATTCTGCCTAAAGGCACAGACAGTGAGTGAAGAGCCAAGAGTCAACCCCACACGTTAAGTCTGGGTCTTACCCTTGAACCACTACGCCATTGCTTTGCACATGCCCATGGCAGGAAGAATGAGAGCAGGTTTCAGCGTGTGTGTGAGTGGCCCCGGGTAGCCTCCGTAAGTATTTGGATCTGAAAACAAAAACCCCAGAATTTATTTTGATGTATTTTTACTTAGGATCTTGAGGCTGTGCCTCTCAAAATGCATGAAATCTCACTGGGTGTTTGTTAAAAAGGAGGATTTATGACCTCATCTAAGACCTTCGTAATCAGAAGCTGTGGGCGTCCACATGTGCATGTATGAATGGGGCTGGGCAGGTGCATTTTAAACGCGTTCCCAAGGTTGATTTCTGGGGCACAGTTACTGATCTGAGAATAGCTCTTACAAGACCTAATGCTTCACATGTTTCATAACCTCTGCCCACACGTGGCATGTCCTTGAACTCTGTTTAAAAGTGTCAACAGATCTGCTCATTTCAAATTTATCTACTGTGCAAGGGAGTGGCTGTGCACTTGTGTTTAAAGAATTACTGTATTTGAATGTGTGTGTGTGTGTTTTTTTAATTTTTATCGATTTGAGAGAGAGAGAAAACAGGAGAGGGAAAGGTAGAGAAAAAGGCACATCGATGTATGAGAGAATCATCAATCAATTGCCTCCTATGCAGACTCTCAACCGGGGTTTGAACCCACAATCTGGGCATGTGTCCTGACTGGGAATCGAACCAGTGACCTTTGGGTACCCAGGACGACGCTCAACAAACCGAACCACATCAGCCAGGGCTGTTGGAATGTATGTTTAAATGCTGCAAGGCAGGGGGCAATAACCACGTCCTTCTGAGAATAGACCCACGGGGTTCTGTGGAGGATGGAGAGGGTCAGACTGCACAGGTTAGCGGAGCCATCGCATGGGATGTCGATGTCTGCTGCAGTCGGAGTGAGGAGGCCAGGCCTGTGGGGATGGTGGCCACGGCGGCATGTTCCATCCTGGGAGGCAGCTCCCCCTGGAGTTGGCCGAGACCAGGCTCAGCCCCCCCCCTACCCCCCCCCCCCCCCCGTCTGCTCCTTGAAGAGAAGCTTAGAAGGAGAGGGGAGTTTGGAGCTGAGGTTGCCCCTGGAAGGCCCTTAGAGCGGGTGGCCAGTGTCTCCCTCGATGTGATAAATCATAAGTAGAATGAGGCCGTGACAGCTCAGGCAAAAACAGCGTGCCCCCTGGACTCCAGGCAGCTCATCGGCTGAGACCCAGAAAGCCTTGGGGAGAGACCAGTGTTTCTCTTGGCATGGCAAGCGAAGCCAAGGTTTAGGTAAGTGGTCGTTGGTAACGGCCTCTTAAACGATTTGAATGTCTGCGTAATTTGTTTCATGAAAGGTTATTACATGTGCGAACCAGTATTCTCTTAGTCAAACATTCCGGGAACGGGAACCTGCTTGGTTTGTGCAGCCAAGTAGCCGGTGACTAAATTGCACGTTTCGTCCTTGGATGGAAGTGCCCACCTCCGTCCCACAGCCGGGATTTGGCAAAGCTGATTTTTCTTTCCAAATGGAAGGCAAAATGTAGTGTGTTCTTTGACACACGAGTCACGATACGTTGGAATGGACACCGGAACCCTGGGAAATAAAGTTCACGCTCAGATATGTGTAAGGTACTGATGCTCTGATATGGGTGGCGTGCAATAAGGTATTTGCTTTCCAGCGGGCGGACGGAGTATCAGGCGACTCACGGGGCCCGGTTACGAAGAACCAGCACCTTCGAGAGGAAGCCTAGCAAACGCTACCCATCCCGGAGACATTCGACATTCAAAGGTTGTGTGCCCTCCATTCCGCCTTGGGATTTGACATTATGCTTTAGCTGGGCAATCCCCGAGGAGCTGGGGGAGGCAAATTTTTTTTTTTTAAATCCTCTCTAATTTATCCTCAGAGAGAACCATTTTTAAAAATACGTTGTTGGCCCTAGTCAGTTTGGCCCAGTGGATAGAGCCTTGGCCTGTGGACCAAAGGGTCCCAGATTCAATTCCGGTCAAGTGCACATGCCTGGGTTGTGGGCTCGTTCCATTGTGCAGGAGGCAGCCAATCAATGGTTCCTTCTCATCATTGATGTTTCTCTCTCTCTCTCTCTTTCTCTCTGAAATCAATAAAAATATTTTTTAAACAAATACATTTTTAGAGAGGAAAAGGAAAAGAGATAGAAGCATAAATAAGAGAGGGGAAAACATCTATCAGCCGCCTTCTGCACTGAAACCCAGAGATGTGCCCTGACTGGGAATCAAACCAGTGACCTCTTGGTGCATGGGTTGACGCTCAACCACTGAGCCACACCAGCTGGCCAGTGAAGTAGATTTTGAAGGCATTTTCTACTGTTCTGCTTTGTCATTCTAAAACTCTGTATTTATTTATTTATTTATTTATTTATTTATTATAGTGACATATAATACTATATCAGTATGTTAGCTGTTGTCACCTTACACCTCTCTGTCTCGTCTTGGTGTGGCTGCCCCGGAGGGAGGGCTCACCCCTGCCATGGCCCGAGAGCTCCCCCACGCTCCAGGTTCTGTTTCTCTTCTCCCTCCCGTCCTGGTCTCCCTCCTCTTTTTCTCCTTTCATTCTACTGGCGTCTTTGAGGAGCTCTGAATGGTTCTCTATGCTGCATCCTTTTTGAAAGGAAGTAGAGTCTAGATAGAGAAGCTCAGCCTCCTGGCATGGCCCCTTCCACAGACTCCCTGCCGGTCCCTGTCAGCAGTGGCTGCCCTGCGCCCTCATAGGTTCATCCTTGCATTTTAGCCATTAGCACCTTACACTTCTCTGTCTGGGTCAAGGCTGGGAGCTCTTTGAGAGCAAGGGCTGTGCCTGGCCCTGGGAATCGTGGAGGGCAGGGCTCAGGGGAAAGGCCGCGTACTTTTCCTCCCGAAAGGAGAAGCAGCCGCGTGGGGAGACTGCCTCCTGGCCGGGAGGCTGCTCTTAGATCTCAGAAATGTCTGCCCCCACCTCGTTGTCATCGCGGTAAAAGTGAGAAAGCTCTCTAAAATGTCGTGCTCTCTGTTTTTGTTTTAAAGCAAGCAACCCGGTGATCGCCGCTCAGCTCTGGTAAGTGCCCCCAGGCTCCGGGGTGCAGCTGTTTTCTCTCTTATATTTACTTTCAATATTGACTTTTTCCTTGATACAATTAAATCGCCCAGTGCGTCTGCTGTTCTTTTTTTTCCTTTTTCTCCTGCCCGGCTATACCATCCCCCTGGCTCTCAATGAGTGCACAGTAGAAGGTTTGGAGACAGTTGTTGTTGTAGGGAACACAGCTGCCTTGTTTGAACAGCCCTGTGCTTTGTTTGCCCTCACGGTGGGTGACAAAGGTGAAAGGAATGTGCACAGCACACGGTGCTCCTGGCACTGCAGGCAGCGGTAGGAAGGGAAGGCCGTGCTCTTGAGCAAAAACTGCCAGAGCAGATGCGGGGTGCACTCCGTGACGGGCACGTTTCATCGTCACGCAGCGTAGAAGACCTGTAGTAAGCATGTTAGTGACATTCCAGCAGGAAAAGGAACTTGTCAGAAGACTGAAACTCTAGCACAGGAGCCAGCCAACGTTTTCTGTAGCCAGCTAGGAAATATTTAAAATATATGTTTATTGATTTCAAAGAGGAAGGGAGAGGGGGAGAGAAATAGAGAGAGAAACATCAATGATGAGAAGCAAAGATTGGCTGCCTCCTGCATGCCCCTCCTTCCCTCCCCCATTGGGGATCAAGCCCGCCACTCGGGCAGGTGCCCTTGACCAGAATGGAACTTGGGACCTTTCAGTCTGAAGGCCGGCACTCTATCCACTGAGCTAAACTGGCTAGGGCCAGATAGGAAATACTTTAGACTTTGCCGGATGTGCTGTCGCTTTTACAAGTACTCTGTCCCCGGAGCTCCGGAGCCACCATAGACCATATGCAAACGAAGGAACATGTGAGCCAATCAGACTTGTCCATAGTCACAGGTAGGCCCGGGATTGGTTTGCAGCCGCTTCCCCAGCACAGGTCTTCTGGATCTCTCCTGTTCCTTGGAATCACCTAGTCAGCTTTGACGAGTCCCTGTCAGCCAGGCCACACCCCAGGCTAAGGGAAGATCTGAGGGGTGGGGTGGGGGGAGGCATGGCAGGCACCTGTGGTTTTGAAAGCCTCCAGGTGATTCTAGTGGGCAGCCCAGGTAAGAACCCTCGTCCTACTTGAATGTGCCTCTTTTTTTTTCTTTTCTTTTTTTTTTTTAAATATATTTTATTGATTTTTTGACAGAGAGGGACAGAGAGCTAGTAACATCGATGAGAGAGAAACATTGATCAGCTGCCTCCTGCACACCTCCCTCCCACCCCACTCCCCGGGGATGTGCCTGCAACCAAGGTATAAGCCCTTGGCCAGAAATTGAACTTGGGACCTTTCAGTCCGCAGGCCGACGCTCTATCCACTGAGCCAAACCGGTTTCGGCTTGAATGTGCCTCTTTTTCTCCCTCGTAAACAACTGTTCTTCGGGGAGTGGGCAGGCTGGTAGAGAATCACAAAATGTAGTTGTTTCAACTCTTGCACCCAAGCTCCAGGGACTGACCAGGAGCCCGGTTTAGTCGGCCTGTCAGCCGTCGGAGGCACAGACCTCAGGCTGCCAGGGAGCGTGGTCTTTGAGATCACAGTTGGGCTGTGCCATGCACTCTGGACAGTTGGCAGCACGCGTGGTGGAACCAGTAGTAAAGCCCTGGTTGGTGAGGAGATCCCTGGCCCCAGCGTGGCTCTCAGACAGCTCTGGGGCCTTGCGGGCCCTCCCCCGCCCCCTTCTGAGCCTCCTCTTGCTCACTTGAAAACTAGGAGGCTGAGCTGGATCAATGTTCTTTTCAGATGTGGTTAGGCCCCCAGAAGGAACCTGCTGTACAGAGCAGAGGGACGTGGAGAACAGAGAACTGGGGACGAAGCTGCATAGGGAGGGAGGGGGCCAGCGCCTGCTGCTCATCCATCCCTCTCCCCAGTACCCCAAGGCTCTAGATCCCCACTGTTCTGGAGAGCACAACGGGCCCCTTGTATCACCCAGCTGGAAGCCCAGGCTCCAGGCTTTGATTTCAAACCACCTGCAGTGCCTCCTGCCTGGGACAAGGGTCTAGCACTGTGTCTCGGTTCAACGTCTCAGCACCTGAGGAAGGGGGTTAGGGTCCTGTGAACCATCAGGCCCTGCTCCCCGCCCTCTCCCCGGGTGGGAGGAGGTTGCACAGTCCTGCCTGGGTCAGCGGAGCCTCCAGCGTGGCCCTGTGTCTAACATCCCTGTGGCAGGCAGTCTGTGCTAACAGGATTGGCTCCTCTCCCCGCCCGGCAGCATACCCTGCTTTTAATTCTCAGGGGTTTGTGCCTTACAGTGTTTCTTTCCTTTGCTGTTTAAGGAAGCGAGTGTTTTGTGTGTTGGCTTTTCCCTAATAAAATTACATTTTCCACTTAGCGCCTACTGATCACATATATTAGGAACCAAAACAAACTAAAAAAAAAAAAAAATCTCCCAGAAAATAAATAAAAGAAACCCCAAGTAAAGCTACCCTTCAGGAACAAATGAGCTAATAACCGCTGTTGGCAGCTGTGGGATGGTTCTCCGCAGCCTGTGCTGCCAGGGCGAGGAGGATTGCTGTGGGCGCCAGGGATACGATTGCGCGCAGGGCTGCAGAGGTGATACCGGGAAATGGCACCTCTTAGAACGCTTACCCTTCCTGCTGCGATCCAGCCTGGGGTGACCCTGGCCTGGAGCCCGGCGCCGCACACCGGCCCCCTCGGAACACTGGGGCCCAGCGCCGTTCAGACCCCAGCAAAGGCTCCTAACAATGGCACGCTTCGCTCTCACTGTTGGAGAAGCAGTAAGCCTTGATCTCAAGCACAGCGCCCTGGCAACACAGCCTGGTGGCAGTGCCGCACGAGGGATGCCAAGCCTGCATTACTAAATAACACGTTAAGTTTTACACCTTTTTTAAGAGTGGTTACGCTTAGGAGACCCATCAAATAGGCTTATGCATGAGGACCCCGAACCCCCTCGGCTTCCTGGGAACAATAGAGGCCTTAGGATGGAGCAGCTGTCCATTCCAGTCCCGGCTCTGCCAGTCATTAGCTGGCTGGCCTCAGGGTTTCCTCACTTCTCTGTTAGGCAATCACTCCCTTATCTATAAGATGAGGCGGTGACCTCAGCGTGGACTAAACAACATCAGGTGTGAAGTTCTCAGGACACATGAACATTCCAGGGTGGTGGCCAGCGTGCGCCTTCCTTGTTGTCGGCAGAGAGGCCCAGAGAGGCAGGTGCGCCGAAGGGGCCCGGTGGTTTTCCCTTCAGCTGGGGAAACCCAGAGCCCCACCCCACCCAGCAGTGCGGGGCAGGCCTGGAGCGGGAGTCAGAATGACTGGGTTTGCCTAATTGGAATGACCTTCATTTTGCCACCAAAACTTGACACCACAACCAGGATTCTGGAATGGTACCCACTTACTTCTACTTGTGAGCTCTGTGGTGACGAACGGAAGTTGCTGCTTGGTTTCTCCGGTGATGAGCTCATTTAAGCCGCTAATCAGAAGGAAATAGTGTCTGTGAGAGCTCCTAACAGGGTAGATAGGGCGTAGGATTTGGTTTATGATTGGCAAATACAGGCATACCTTGTTTCATTGCGCTCCGCAGATGTTGCAGGCTTGGTTTTGTGTGTGCCTGTGTTTTGTTTACACGTTGAAGGCAAGGCCCTCTACCAGCAAGAAGGCTACGACTCGCTTTGTTGCGGGGCTCGCTTGCTTTATTGCGCTGGTCCGGAACCGAGCCTGCAATATCTCAGAGGTATGCCTGCAATTCAGTAACGATGCTGCTTTACAGCCTATTACATTGTCATTTTTCTTTTCTTTTTTTTAGCTCTAAAACAAATCCTGAAGTCCACAATTACCAGGTAAGATACTGCTTTTAAAGGTTTTTATGTCATACTAAAAGTTTTTACACTTTCCACATTGAGCAGTTGTTTGTGGGCAGATTTTAAAGAAATAGTAACAATATGGTTTTCTGAGAAAACGGAGAGAGGAGCATCTCCTCCCCCCCCCCCTTTCCCTCCCCACACTCCCTCCCCACCTGTTCCTCTTGGTCATCTGAGCTGCCTCTTTCTCTTCACCGGGTCAACTGGCCAGCAGCAGGGACAGATGTTTAAGTTTCTGGGGTCAAACAGACTCTGAATGGCACTCAGGTGAGGCCACTGCATGTCCAAGTGTGTTCTAGGCCCAGGGAACGTGAGTCCCTTGAGGTGTGTCTCCAGGAAAGAATGTCTGGCCACACGTCTGAGAAATGTTGCATTCTTCGTGACCTTTTTAGATCTACCGTGTCCCTTGGGGTGTCCAGCATACTGAGAAATCCTGCAAGAAAGACAGGTTGTTTTTTTAATTCAGTGTTTCCCAAGATCATTTAGTATTGGACACCGCCCCCTCTCCCCCCCTCACCTCCCCTCCCTCCCCCCGGCCATCCAAAAAAACACTCGCTCACTAGCTTCCTAGCTTCTCTCCTCATCCCCCCACTCCCCACTCCCTTTCCTCTGGTGGTGCACCAATAACATCGATGCAGTGGTGGCCTCTGGAACCTCCTTGTAAGGCATCGGGCTGGGCACAGATCCAGTGCCATGGCTGGCGGCCTGCTCTTCCCCAGGGCAGCCAGCAGGGCCACACCCCGTGCCCGACCGCCCATCTCACCCTGTGGGTGGCTCTCGCCTGCCATTCAGTCTTCTACAACCTGGCTGGCGCGTTCCTTTTCTGCATTTATTTCTCACCGCTACTCATCACAGCATAGGCTCAGTTCTCCGAGAATGACATCATCGTTGCTCCATCATTTCTTCCCACCCTGCCTTCGGCCATACTCGTCTGCCTGGACTTCCTTTGCCTCCTATCGGGATAGAGCCCGCCTCGGAAGCCATCTCCTTCCCAGAGCCTCTCTGTCTTCTTCATGGGCGGTCACCAGCACCAGTGGTTCCCAGCCCTGCCCCACCGTCTGGCAAGCTTCAGACAAATAACCGGTGCAGGGGCCTCCCCCTGCAGGACTGGGTTGGGAGTCTGGGCATTAGAGACCATCACAGCTCCAGAGGTGGTGGTCGTGAGCAGCCAGCTGGGGAACCCTAGTGGGGGAAGTGCCTTGCTTCCTCCGTTGTCATTTGTTTGTGCATAAGAGGCAGCATCCATGTCTGATGGCCTCCCAACCTGGGATCAGCTGTCTTGTCCTGGGCACTGTGAATGTCTAAGGGGCCCGGCTCACCCAGGTCTCTGTGCCCTGTCTGGATTTGCATGTCACAGGAACAAAGCAACTTTTTAAAGAGTTCACGTTGGAGCCTTGTTCTAACTCGTCTCATTCTTAATCTTCTGTTTCTCTAGATAGTAATTCCTTAGGTGGGGATGGGGGTGGGGTCCCCAGGTACATTATCCTTACGAGGGCTCCGTATTGTGCTTCAGAAGAAATTGGTGGTATCATCTTCCGTATTCCGTACCTGAAGTCACCTTCCCGCTGTGCAGAGCCTGCCCGTGACTTCCCGGTCCAGGGAATAACACCTGAGAGGGACTTTGCACCTGCCAGGGGCAGGGCCCGGGTTTCTGGTCTCCTTGCCTTCTTTAGGTTCTTGAATCCTCTTATTCAGATTGTTTTTTTTTGCTTGTTTGCTTTTTAGGGATTTTTGGGTCTGAGAGGCTGGAATGTTGTGGGGGGAGGGAAGAGTTGTTGGGGATTGCCGTTTGAATGACATGAAAAAATAAATGAAGCAAAGCGGCCCTAGCTTGGCGCGGCCCCGGTGGTCTTCCCCACAAGCCTTGCGGGCGAGCGCTCCCTGCACGCTCTGCTCACGGTGAACAGCGAGGCGATGGCTGGTTGCAATCCGATCTGCAAAATCTGTTTCCTATGCATTGTTGTCCTCAGCGTTTTTGGCAACCACCGGACCTCTGTGCCTCACTGCTCTCGGAGGCTCTGCGTTGCTCTGTCAAGGATCGGGAGTCAATGGACCGGGAAGGGAACATCCTGAGAAGCGGCCCGATAAGCATCGGAGTGCTGAGAAAGGGTTTCAGCAGGACGGGGTGGGATTGCAGCGTGTCTGATTCTGAGCTCAGCAAGGCTAGCCAACTGCGAAGGATGGATGGCCGAGTTCCCGCTGAGGACGCTGCTGCTGGCATTTGGGGAGGGACAGTTCTTCCTTGTTTGGGACGGTCCCTAGAGTTACAGGATGTTTAATTTCCTTCTTCTCTGCCCAGACATTAAAGGTAACCCCCCTGTGGTTTTGACAAGCAAAAATGCACCTATATATTTCCAATTGTCCCCAGGGAGCATAGCTGCCCGATGGAAAACCTTCTGGGTTCACATTAAAAAATACTCCTGGGCCGAAACCGGTTTGGCTCAGTGGATAAAGTGTCGGCCTGCGGACTGAAGGGTCCTTGGTTCAATTCCGGTCAAGGGCATGTACCTTGGTTGTGGGCACATCCCCAGTAGGGGGTGTGCAAAAGGCAGCTGATGGATGTTTCTTTCTCATCGATGTTTCTGACTCTCTATCCCTCTCTCTTCCTCTCTGGGAAAAACCAATAAAATATATATATTTTAAAAAAAATACTCCTGGGCAGCTTGAGAGTAAATGGCCAGAGGACATCGAGGAAGGGTCTGGAGTATCCTCCTTCTGGGTCTGTGGAAACGGTACCCACCCCGTCTCCCAGGAACCTGATGTGGCTGTGTTTGAGGACAGGGAATAGGAGGGCTGTCTCTACTCCGTCACTCTCTCTTGTTGAAGACCCCATTGGTGGGGCCTCACTTGGGGCCAGATCAGTGGGGCTCTGGGCCAGTCTTCTAAACCCTCTGGGGTTCTGTCTCCCCTGAGAGGGCAATGTGAAGAGAGCGCCCAGGGGAGATTCTAGAGCCCTGGCCAGCTCTCAGATGCTGCTGCGGAGGGATGCCTTGCAGATCCACCTCCCTGCAGCACTTCCTCCTGGGGGCTGCACACTTGGCTTGCTGACAGGCGTCTTGGAAAGAGAGGGGCCTCTGGAATACAGAACAGGCAGCAGGGAGGGCATCTGGGGTCTGGGAACACAGAATGAGCAGGATCGCTGAGAATTTTCCATAACAGAGAGTAGCCTTCTGCTTATTAACCAAAGCAGCAGGGAAGGGAGGCGAAGGGGAGGAAATAATTAAAGGAGGGATGGTGGCAGGGCTGGGGTGGCTTAAATGTCAGGCGGGCCTCATTTGCCGGGTAGGAAGTGTAGCCTGGAGAAGCACCCTGGCTTCTGGCGACGTCTGGGACCGCTGCCCTCTGCAGGCCAGACGTGGATGGCAGCCCCAGCCAGTCTCTTCCCTGGGTCATTTTGTGGGTCATCAGCCTGGATCTATGTTCCCATCTTAAAGTGGACCGTTTTCTCCTTTCCGTTTATCACGATAAGAAATGGTCTGGATGATTGGGGGGGGGGGTATTTTTGGTCATGCTTTAGAAAATGGCTCTTACTGCTCACACAACGGAGGAGTGTGCCCTCAGCCTGCGGTACCCCTTCCCCTCCTTGTCTGTGTGCGTGCAGACGTAGATGTTACCCGCGGTTGCCGTCATCGCCATCGGTGACAAACATGGTTTTTGAGCATTGCCGACCACCCTCCCTGTCTTTCTGGCACCTTCCGTCTGTCCCCTTGTTCCCTTGGGAGAGGTGATTGTGGCTTCTGTGGGGGGACCCTTTCAAGGCCGATACCTTCCCCTCTCTTCCCGGGCAGCTTCCCAACCCCAGCCTTTGTCCCCAGGAAATGTGATCGTCCTGGGAAATGTCCCCACACCCCTCCCCACCCTGCACTTCCCCTACCCCCCGGCTCCCAGCCGGCGTTCTGTTATAGCCTTCCCATTCACGGTCCCTTAGGTGGATGCCAGGAAAAAGAGAACGTGAATGAAGACCATTGAAATCAGAAGGTCACCGAATAATCACGTTTGGTGTTTTCTTTCCAGCCTCAGTATCATCCCAATATCCACCCCAGCCAGCCCCGGTGGCACCCGCACTCTCCCAACGTCAGGTAAGCGCCCGGGCTCCCCGAGCTGCCCCCGCACACGTTCGTTTCTCAGGAAAGTTCAGATCCTCCTGAGTCATGAGTTAAAGTTCTGCATCAGCAGTTGCGGTGAAGAGTGGCCTGTCACGGCCCAGATGAATCCTGACTGAGCAAAGCAGAGGCAGCCAGCGAGACGCTGGGTTTGCTCAAGTTATGCTTTATGACACCAAAATGAATTGGGCCGGGTTTTTGTTTGGGTCTGTGTGTGTGTGTGTGTGTGTGTGTGTGTGTGTGTGTGTGTGTGTTTAAGTCATTCTAACCTCGGAAATTTTGGGTTTGTGTTAGAAATGTTACTTAAAATGTCTAAGTAACATTTCCCTGTCCTAAAATTCATTTATAAAAATATGACCAAGCATGGAGATTTTTGTCATGGATTTTTTTGGACAAGAGTTGTTTTTTTTTTCAGAGGTGGAGTGAGGGCTTCCGTTTTTGTGGCATCGGATCTTTTTTCTACTCCCAGGGGCCAGTGAACTTTTTTCCATAAAGGGCCAGGTAGTCGGTATTTTCGGCTTTGTGGTCTCTGCCACAGCTGCTCAGCTTTGCCGCGCAGCTGCCGGCAGTGTGGAAGTGCCTGGGTGTGGCTGTGTGCCACTAAGACGCATTTACCATAATAAGCGGTGAGTGGGCTGTGCTTGCTCCCCTCGGCCCTGACCCACCACGACCCTCCCAACCACACGGCACCAGCCTTGCGTGTGTAGTCCGGTTCCAGAGCGTTTTCACGCCAGCTGGGTCAGGCAGATGTTCCTTCTAAGATCAGCTTCATGGGTGTTTCTGCTTAAGAAGCTCTTTTAGAGACAGAGCTGCTGGGTTCTGTGCGCATGGTTATTTCTCGGCGAGGCAGCCCTGCTCTGTGAGAAAGCACCGAGGACGGAGTGATGGAACCACGCCTGGCGGGAACAGGGCAGACGGGGGAACCTGGCTCCTGACAGTTCTGACCACGTTTGGGGGGGACCCTCTGGGACAACAGTGCGGTTTTAGCATAAATACTAGATTCTTGTGTAACTTTCAAAGCAAGTCAGACCAGTGGAGGAATGATTCTCCACGTTTCTGGGTTGCAAAGGCAGTTTATTTTGCAGACGTGAGAAACAGAAGAGATTTATAGAAACCGTGTTTTTAATAACCTTGTTTTGACAGAATTTTACACCCTTGCTGCCGAGTGTATCACATTCGTTTCCTTCGGAGGCATGCCCTGGCCCAGCATTCCAGGGGATAATTCCCAGGAAAGCTGGTACCAAACTCCTCTTGGTGGCCCGCCCGCCTGGGTGCTTGTGAATGCAGATTCATGGGCCTCCACGCCTGCTGATTAGAATCTCTGCCGGTGGGGCCCAGCATTTTGTGTCTTATCAGGCCCTCCAGAGAGTTAGAGAGGCGCTCTCTGAGATACTGATCCCAGGAAAAGAGAGCTCACAGTGCCAACACCTTTGGCCAATGCTGCCTACGGCATTCACAGGGCACATTCCCATAATGGCCTGAGGCGTCCGTCCCCTAGCAAAGGGGTCTCATACCAGCCAGAGCTAGCCCTGCTCTGCCTTCTCCATTGGTCCACTGAAGGCTGGCATGAGACCTTTCCACGTTGACCTGGCTTTCCCCAGACCAACCGTGCAGGGATGAGAGCCCAGCCATAGACAGAGCTTTCCTCCCCTGTTGGGAGTCGGTAGGTGACCCATCCATTTCCACCTGCAAGCCATTCCCATGCCTGTCGTCCGTGGTTGACCCTGCCCATTCCCTTTGTGCTCATGTTGTCTCACTCTCTCCTGAGCTTCCTCCCATCCCCCCACTAACCATTCCCTCTGCAAACGACACAGGCCATCCTTTGAGGATGACAGGCCGCCTTGGAAAGCGCCGGGCAGTGCAGATGACGGCCACCTCGATTATGTCCACAACCAGAACCAGAAGAACTTAGGAGGCGTGCAGAGTGTGGTGTGTCGCGATAAACTCATGACTGCGCTGTGAGGGACCGGCCATCTCACTTCCATGCTCCATCCCAGTTTGCATTCCATCCCATGAGAGGTGTCTGGGCGCCGCGTGGCTGCGTTTGTGAAGGTGTCTGAGGAATAGTCTCGAACGGTGTTTTCCGTGTCCGTGTAAATACTGGAAAGCAATCCCCATAGCTAGTCCTAACGTACTGTCTGACTGCATTATCAATAAAATGAAGGTAGGTAAAGGCTCAGGAATTACGCTGATGTTCTGATTTTTAAAACTGGAGTGAAAAGCCTGTGTGTGCTGTATTGCTGTGTACCTGATATCGCTTTGTTATTTAATGAGTGGGACCAAATAAAACCAGGGGAACATGGGAAGAAAACAGAGAGTACCCGTAATGTGGTGGGGATGGGGACAGCTGGGGTCCAGCCTCTGCCATTGTGTGGTCTTAGACAAGCCATTGCTCCCTTCCGGGCCTCCTTTTCCTCATCAGAAAAGTCTGGGTCGGACTGATGGGTCATCAAGGTCCTTTCCAAGTCTAACATTCCGAGACCCATCGAAATTTAATATTTCTAGGCTGAGGCTATCACCTTCAAACGACCTCCTAGGAAAATGGCAACATCCCCTTCTCTCACAGAGGCCACCTTGTCCAGAAGCTAAATGAACCGTATGAACTGGGTAGACATGATAGCAGGCAGGGAGACTCTGAATTTCAGGTCCGAGGACAGTGTAGCCACTTGGAACTTTAGAGATTTGACTAATCACAAGCTGCATAGCATCCGTTTTTTGGTAGGATTTGCTGCTCGAGAACAGGAATAATTTTTTAATGTCTTAATGATTGGTGCTGCTAACTTGCATGATTGCAGAAGACACGATCAAGGGTAGATGCTGTCGGAATTTTTGCAGAACTTGAGGGTCGGGTTTTTTTTACCCTACACGTCACTCTTTTATGAAGCTACGTGCAGTCTGAGATGCACCTGGCTTCAGATTGTAACGACGTTGTGCCAAAGCATTCTGTAGAGGATGGGAGGGTTGTCGCACAGTCTTTGGGTAGAACCAGGAAATTAATTTGTTGTCCTCTAGGATAGAATTTGTACCAATATATTTATTTCCCCCCATTTCAAGCCACGACGAGTCAAGCATCAATTTTCTTAGCAGGCGGGCCTGAGATGTGTTTCCTTAGTATCTTTGTGAAATCAGTTCCCGTGCCATCTTTATATATGTCATTGTGAATTCGGCCCATTTCAAGCCTTTAACAACACGTCTTGACGTCCCTTGAGAATTTGATTGCTGAGATCTGGAAAATTTCCTTTGGCTACCGCAAGGACCTCTCCAGAAGGAGGGCATCGGCTGCGCACCCTGCGCGGCGGGGTCTGTGTCATAGAAACTCCCCCCCCCCCCCCCAAGACGGTTGTTTACAGATGTATTCCTGATGCTCCCCGTGTCCCCATGCTCCGTGTCTGTGCTACGTCCAAATAAATGTGTTCTGAAGCTTTTAATCTTATTGATAACGTTTTTACAAATGTGTTTCCCAGGAATAAAGATTATTCTTGCTCGTTGTGACTCAGCCTTCATTTTGTGCTGCGCAGAAGGACCCTTTGTGGGTGACGTAGGGGACGTGACCATGTGCTCTCATGCTAGTGTGATTGAGGCTGCCCTTTGGGGGGAGTGGCTCTCGCAGGCAGTGGCAGAGGCATGTCTTCACCGGGAGCAGCTGTGGGGAAGGAGCCTGGACCCGGTCCCAGGTGGCAGGGCGGGGGGTGTCCAATCACAGTCCTGCCGTGAGGGCGGGTGTGTGTCCCGGACACACAGGACAAGCTGCTGTTCCAGGCGAAATGACTTCCAGCCCTGTGGTCTGTGGCCCCCAGACACGGTGGACCGTCTGATGCATCTAATAAATACTTTGTGCTTAAAGCAACGGGCGTGGGTTCAGTTGTCTGCAACCAAGAAAGTCTAACCAATCTGCATTCTTCCGGCCTCCTCGTAGTTAAATCACATGGACACTATTTATTCCTCAACTAGGCGGGCCACTGTCCGCCACATTGGGTGGTGGTGGTGGTGACTCAGTCAGCTTCTGGGAACTCTGTGCCCTTGGCTTCTACGGGGTCTGATTCTCCAGCCCCGGGACTCCTTCTTCAGTCTTCATAATAGCCCTGTCTCCTGTCATCCTCTGAACTATTGCTCTTTCCCAGGAGTCCCTCATCTGCCCACTGCTCTCCTCACTGTCATGTCTGCCTGGATCTTCTCATCCCATCGTGACTTTATGGCGCTGCCGACACTGGAACTTTTCTCTCTCCCTCGGACTAGACTGACATTTCAACTTGCATGTGCCAAGCACACTGCAAACTCCCCGTGCCAAAAATTAACTTTTTCCCTCTCTCACCAAAAAGGGGGGGGGGGAACCATTTACCCCAATTCTTTTTCACCCAAGGTAAGAACTTATATATCATTGGCATCTCCTCCTCCTATTGCCACGCGTATCCAGGCAGCCCCCTGATCTGCTCAGCTCCCCCTCCTCGGTATTTTGTTCAGTCGCCCTCTCTCCTTGCCACTGACCTTGATCTTTCCTCTGACTGCAAAGTGCTCTTCCTGATCTCCCTGACTCTGATCTCTCCTGACAAGCGCCTTCTCCTCACAGCCCCTAGGGAGAGCTTTCTGAAGCACCAGTCTGATGGTGTCATTTCATGGCTTGACATCTGCCAGGATTCTCCATCGCCCATGGGATGAAGCCCAAGGCCTTCTCTGTGGAATCCCCCTGCTCTCTGCTCTAGCTAGCACAGCTCCCATCCCTCAGCCTCCTGTTTAAGCTCCTGCAGCTCCACACTGCATGTAGTTCCTGACATGCAGCATACCCTGCTGTCACTCCCATCTGTGCCTCTGCAAACACTGTTCCTTCTGCCAAGAACGCTGTCACTCCCCTCCCCTTTGCCCAGCTCCTGCTCATCACTCCCGTTTCCACTCAGTCTCCCAGGGATCCTGACTGCCCCCAGCTCTGCAAACTGTGCTCCCTTCCACTGCCCCCACCCCATACACAGCAGTGGTGCTCT